TCAGACTAAATTTTGACGAAGAAAGGCATGCCTCTTTTTCCGAACTGCGAGGATTTAACACGTCTAAAACAAAAGCAATGCGTCTCTTAAAACATCATGCAGGAAACATCTTACAACCAAACAAAAGAGGTAACAAAACACATTCATAATAAGCATAGTACTCTTATTATAGGGTTCGGATCTTGATGGAGTAAATGGGTGTGATATTATACAAATTCTGCAGATCCTCAAAATCGTCAATTCAGTTTGAAAATGAGTGCTTTTTTTCTTTTTAAATTGAAATTGAAATCAAATATTCTATTGCATAAGAATTCATCACAATTTGAACAATAGTACAACCAGAATTTGGTTTTTGTATTCCCAAAAAGTTGTTTATTGCCTTTTAGTGATTTATTAAAAGAAAAGGAAATAAATAAACTATTAGTTAAAATTACTGTGCTTTCTAAACACTATATGATTCCAGGCATTTAAAATATGTGTGGGTGGATGTGGGATGTGGGTGAGGATGTGGCTCAGTAGATTAAGCGAAAACTCACACCCTCGTAAATCGATATGATCTGTTTGAAAAAATATAGTGTGAGAAGATTTGAATAATTTCTCGAATGCAACTACACTTATTGATGATATCTGTCAAATATTAAGTAATGGTATAGATACAAAATTACTGCGACATGTTCAAATTGATATTTAACAAATTTGTCATTGTCGCAATCAATATTTATATTTTATTAAAAACAAAATAGCTTTTCAATGGGTATTTGTATAAATTGCAAGTTCAGCTACTGAATTTCTATAATTTAGATAAAGTATCTAGGACGCAAGACTATTGTCTATTTCAAAATATAGTGTCCTTCACTGTTTTTTTCAATAACTTAAGAACACAAATAGCTAGAGATCTGTAGTTTTCATCAATTGAAAGAGAAGACAGAGGAACGTCTTTTTTCCAATATTGTATAAGACGAAATCATTTTAAAATCAGTCATTTCTGCAAAACATTACACAAAATGGATGAAAATGATCTGTCATTTCGATGAAATTTTGATTTTGACATGTGATCTAGATAAAAGGACTTCAGATCTATAGTTTAAGATATAATTCGAATGTTTATCTTCATACATCCTAATGTTGAACAAATGAAATCGTCTATTCAATTGCATGAAAACTATGGATTTCTTTTAATTTTTAAGCATATTTTCTTAGTTTTTGTCAAAATTTCATCTGAATGATAGAGTTTTTTTGTACATTTTTTCTATGTGTTGCAGAAATGACTGATTTTACCATGATTTCGTCTTATATAGTATTGGAAAAAAAAGACGTCCCTCTGTCTCCTCTTTCGATTAGTGAAAACTACAGATCTCTAGCTGTTTGCGTTCTTGAATTATTTAAAAAAACAGTTGAGAGCACTATATTTTGAAATGGATAATAGTTACGATTGAGCATTGACTGTGCAATTTCGATGTATCAAACGCAACATGTGATATTTGTAAAAATTGATATTGGCTTAAGTAACAAATGTTGAAAAGTAAATATGTTGTTTATAATATTTAGTATAGTTGTCGTTTTGGTAGTATTATATATCATACATTTAATGCTAAAGCTTTTAAAATAGATTTTAATTGTATCTCAAGAATTAATATAAGTTTATACATAGAGATTCTGAAACAAAATTTCAATACAATGAAAACATTGCAAATGATAGAAAAAAAACAATTAAAATTGACAATAATATTATTATCATAATAAGAACAATTATTAACTATTACTTATTTTGTCAACCGTAAGTGAAAAATATCAGGTTACCCGTATAAATTTGCTAGAAGATATCTAAAATGATGCTAATAATCAGAATGATAACTAGTTTGAAAGAAAAAAGCGACATTTGTCATATGAAGAAATGTGTAGAAACTAGTGATTAAGTAATGAAAAATACAACACGAATGATAAACATAAGATTATTTATCATTAAAATATTATCGTGTGAGAAAACTAATATCATATGTATTGTGGTCGCTATATTTCGATAGCATTTGTTTAACAATATGTTACGCTTGAAAATGAATATTCTATTGTTCTTGGAAAATAACTTGCGATGCAAGAGTTATAACTTGTTAAGATCGAAAAGATTATAGCTTATTTGTATTTCGGTATTGACTTTGAAAATTACGATATTCAATGGATTAGAGAACTCTATCAAGAGAAAAATGTAGATCTTATTCAAGTAAAGTGTTTTATTAATAGTGATTGTGAAATTGAAAATGCAATTATTCAAAACATAATACATATTCTAGTACTTTTAGCGCTTTTAGAACTATATTATATATGTATTAGATATTTTGATGCTACATCTGATGATTCTTTTTTTTATGATTGATTAAACGATACATAGGAAGTGTAAAAGACTTTAGCAAGAGGATATTATTCAATATATACAATATCTCGTTTATGTTAGAGGTCACCTTTTTTGGATATAGGATTTACATTAAGTAATGATGTCTCTTTTCATAATATGCTTAAATATATACATTATATTAAGAGTTGTTCTGTAGATTCAGTTCGACTTGAGGGTATGGATGTGGCTCTTTGTGTAGCGTGTGGGTATTGGGGGTATGGGTGTACGTAGGGATGAGTACGCATGGATGTGGGTGTGAGGTGTGGACTGCGCGTATAAGTGTTCGTGCTCATGATGGAACTTCTATTTTTGATATCTTCACACCCAGTCACATTCCACACTCACCTACACTCACACCCACCCGGAGTTCCAATGTTATTGTATAACAATGGCATTGAAGCAACCAATTTCACTTTGAAATCGAGCACTGATTGGAAATTGGGCCCATTATCTGATGTGATTGATATTGTCGACAGACTAATTATAGGATAATAAAGTCAATATATGCGTGCCTTGTATGATTCTGGCGAGTAGGAGTTGGTAGCTCCGTACAGAAGGTATAGAAAGATAGACTCTAAAAAGATTTCTTTACGTAGGACTTTTTAGATTCGTTCATGATACGCATATCTGGTCGAAAAAAACAGTGGAGCAGCGCAACAAAGTAATCAGAGATTACTATTCGTTTTTACCTTCAGCATCATCTCAACTGACGCTTGACTTCAACATTTCTTCAAAAGCCGGTCGAAAACCTGGACGACCTAAGTGTCATGGGTCATCTACAATATCAACTAAGCGCAAATGATACAATTCATACAACACTCTTATAGTATATAGCTAGTTTATCTTATAGATCTTGAGTAAACAACGATAATGAGTTATAATGCATTGATAAATATCTCGTTTACATTCTAAGAGAAAAATTTTGTCAAAAAAACGGTTCTAAGTGGGTGTTGGCGAGTATTAATGAGGTGTTATTACGATATCAGTGAGTGTTAGTCCGATGTTAGTGCGGTGTTAATGAGTTTTAGTTGGTGTTTGTATATGCTGTTACTGCTCAAAGTCTATCAAGATAGTAGATGAATAGGTGTTAGTGGATGTTTACAGAGTGAGCTCAATGAGTTCTAGCTATTGACCTATTTGCCGAACGGATCTGAACAAAAATTGGGTGTTAGCGTCTTTTGCTAAGGCCCCGATGAAACAGTCATCAATGAATAATGCAAAATAATTGGAATTCAATAACAAGTTACTAATTCATAGTTAATTAACCAATAAGAAATGGCATTTATAGTTAATATCAAACCAGACAGATTCAGTTAAACAATATTCTTCTTTTTTAATTTTTAGAAAAATAGATGAAATATATCACTAACAAATGTCAACTACACAGACATTTTCAACTACAAAAATAAAAAGGATTTACAACGACAGTTCTTTTTTTGATCGGACTTATGTTTGAACATTGCCGTAAGTGCCTGGTTGAGCACGATAATATTCTGGAAATGTACGTAGTTGTATATATGAAAAGGCATATGCTTTAATGCCTGTATTAGCAAGTGCATTTTCAATTGACGTACCATTACGTCGAAATTGATTAAGTATATCTTGTAAATCATGTCGATCAATATTATGATTATTGACAAGTAATTGTCCTTGTTCTAATGTAAAACCCATTGATGTACGATCTTTAGCACTTTTACAACCAGTAACTCGTATTCCATATGCTCGACGACAAATCTAAATTGAAATGAACGAAATTATCTAGCATGTCAAAATAATACCATACTTTTTCAGCCAATGGAAAAATATCAACATTTTTTGGTTTGTTCGAATAGACTGTATGTTCAAGTAATTTCATTAAATCAGGTATGTCATCTTAAGAAAAATAAACATTCATGCGCCTTTTTAAATTTCATACTAAAACATTTTTCAAGTATGGAGAGAAGACAACAAAAATAAATACCTGGTAAATTATTGACATTTTTATTAATATAGGCTTTGAGTTTGGCTAAATTGTTATAATTGAGATTATTTTCGACCTCTGTTGCGCTGAAGAAATGGAACCTTAAAGAACATTTTAAACTGTTTCTTTTTTATTTTCATTTTTATTTCTTTCTATTACTAACGCTTTCATTCGTGCAAGTGATGCTCGATGATCAATGCCTATATTGAATACCACTGGTACAATAAGAATTGATGCACCATCTTTCAATTTTTGTGGTAATCGAGCAAACATATGAGCAGGCAGCGGTATCACAACCTTACAATAAAATCTTGTACCAAAAAATTGAGGCTGAAGTAAATTATTATTTGTAGTTGCAGGTACAAAACGCACATGAACATTTTCTAATGCATGAATTGCTTCGACAGAATCTTCAAGCATACCTAACTCATCAGCATCACATGTTAGAAGATATTCGAAAGAGATTAACATTCCTATAATGAATAAAACACAGAATGCAAGAAAACTGAAAAGAATAAAGTAAAATTCAACTTTTTCATCATCATCTCGGTTTTCCTATTTGTAACTTATCAACTTCAACCATGTTTAGTCAATATTGATTTTTTTTATTCTACAAACAAACTATACAAAGATTTATGAAAAAAAAAACGATCATGCCATTAATTGCATCAATCGTTTCGGTGGTATCACAGATCTTTTCTTAGTAAATACATTAATTGTTTTTTGTGTAGTTGTTGCTTTCGGTATGATAACAACTCGAGATGATTGTAATTCCGGTTGCATAGGAAAAGTAATGCATATTGTAGGAGGAGGTGCAAGAAAGATAGCTGGCCGAGGATAGTTGCTCATCGGAATTCTTTTCGAATTATCTGTTACAAATCTATTATCTGCTTTAAGTTTTTTCGGAGATGATTTTATTATTCTTGGATTAGTTCGTTTGGTTTGGGCTGATTCCAATGATGGAACGAATGAAACTGATGTCACTGATGATTCCGATGCTTCATTCTTTATATTTTGATGAGATTTTGGTCGTCGATAAATACGTTTTGATGGTTCTTTGTGATCAACTGATTGATGATATGTTCTTGGTCTTGAAAGTCGAATAGCAGTTTCCATAGTAAATGTTGTGATTGGACTATGAGCATATCGACGTGTTGTAGGTAAATTTTGTGGTACAAATTTTGGTTTAATCTTAGTCGTTAATCGAATCTTTGGTTCAAAACGATTCTCAGTCGAAATAGATGTAACTGATTGAGAAGTATTTGTTTCGACTGTTACTGGTCTTGTTCTTAATGTTGATATGCGTGGAGGTGAAGCTGATTCTGCTGTTGCCCAAGAACTTCTAGATGGAATACGATTATAAAATGAACTAGTGTCATTCGATGAATAACTTGGTGGTCGATTATGAGATCGACTTTTTGTTATCCGATTATTAAAATCTTCAACAGTTCCAAATGATCCTATTTGATCACCCTTTTCCGTTGATGCCTTTAATACACTTTCAGCAGTTTTTCGTTGCTCTTCTTCATCACGTGCAACATCACGTAAAGGGTTTTCAATACCAGTAAAACTTGTCTCAAAATTTGATACAAAACTGGCATGACGTTGTGATAATTCATCAAAACGATTGAGAAGACCATCAATCGAGCGCAAAACAGGAATCATAGTTATAGGTGTGTGCGTGTGTGTGTTCGCAAAAATACAGAAGAAAAAAAAATTGAAGTGTGGAAGATCAAATTAAGAAGGACGAGAAAGTTTCATTTTTTTTTGTTTCAAAATGCATTTGAAAAACAACGCAATACTTATTCTATCGTTTACTTTTTTTCTCTCTCATGTCTATACACTTACCACTAGTCATGTAAAGCTTCCACGCTTGATCACTTATTTTAACAGACGATAGAAGAACGGAAATTGAGAATATAAGGCAAGTTAACTATAAAAAAAAAACATGACAATAGCAATGTTTATAAAAGAAAACAATTTTCAAGGCTAAATATATATATATATTTACCGCCTGTGAAAAAGCAATATCAAAACGTTCACGAAAATCTTGAGAATAACGTTCAATTTCCATACTTTCTTGAAATATATATCGCATTATATATTTACATGTATGACGTTCAAGTTCATCAGCAATGAGTTTTAAGTTATTTAATTGTGCCATTCCAAATGTGTGTTCATCTTTTTTCATTGACTCTTTGATTTCTTCTAAAAGTTTTTTTGCTTTTGCATGTATGGTATCCTTAAAAATAAAAAAGAATTGTTTTGTTTATTTGTTTTTTTTTTGGTGTTGACACGATATTATTCGTATGCATACCTGTGATGCAGACACTTCTTGAGCAGACACTCGTGGTATCAATGGATTAGCAATTATTTGTGATGACGAGTTAGCTATCGTATCAAGATCTTTGTCGGAATATTCAAGTAATGAGACAACCTATGAAAAATTGTCTTGATTAATTTTGTATCTATAATTTCTTTTTTTGCATATGAATGAAAATATTGTAAAGACAACAAAGTACTTTAAAGAAGATTCAAGTAGTTTAAAAAGAAAATAAAAAAAAAAAACTTAAAAATCAAGTGAAGTGACACATTCAAGTGATCTACTTTTTTATTATTACGATATGGCTAAGTATTCACTTAAATAACGGGTGGCCCAGATTAAATTGCCGGTCTTTGTGAACTATGCTTTGATTAACCATCTAACCTTATTTAAAAAATACAGTACAGCATTGAATACAGCGAACAAGACTCTTCATTTTTATATAGAAAGCTATGTTAATAATTGCTCTGATGGAAATAGAAATTTTGAAAACTTTATATGATCAAAAAGTACTATTGCTCGGTGACCAATTATTTGAACAAATTGAACGATTCTTTCAACTTTTTGTCCCAACAATCAATCAGTTTGAATCTAACCTCAAAGTACAGGTCGAGTGATAATATCATGACATAATGATTTAACATCTTTATATTGATAATATGCTTCCAAGAGCTTTGTTTCAGGTACAGTGATTGGATGTCTTTCACAGCAAGTCACTTCTCAGTAGCAGTTTTACCAAACATGTTTATCTCATTTTTTTAGGCGTATTTTCTTAGGTATGGACTAAAAATGGTTCATTCATTGAGTATTTTCTCATAGTGTCTTTATCAAGCACCAGTTCTGGTACGGTTAATAATTCGCAAATTCAATTCAAAGAACATCTTTTTCACCGTACAGATAGAAGCTGATGACAAGCAATAATTTCTAATTATAATTTCTTTAGTATTCTGTCAGAAGACATCTCATTTTTTTTATCGTTATTTCTGCCTGTGACATCCTTGCTTGCACTACGTATTGAGGTTAGATTCAAACTGATTGATTGCTGGGACAAAAAATTGAAAGAATCGTTCAATTTGTTCAAATAGTTGGCCACCGAGCAATAGTACTTTTTGATCATATAAAGTTTTCAAAATTTCTATTTCCAACAGAGCAATTATTAACATAGCTTTCTATATAAAAATGAAGAGTCTTGCTCGCTGTATTCACTACTGTACTGTGTTTTTTAAATAAGGTTAGATGGTTAATCAAAGCATAGTTCACAAAGACCGGCAATTTAATCTGGGTCACCCGTTATATTGGGTAATTGTTACTAATTCGACTTTCTCTTCAATAAAATCTTAGTCTTTAACAAAAAATACATTAGGATATTTCGATTTGAACTTTGATAGAGACAAAAGACTTAATCGTATTGTCTTCTTGTTATCGTACGGTGAGTCATAATCAATCGAACACGTCTATATTCAACTTTAGAGGCATTTAAAAAATACATTTTGTACTAATTAATCTTCGCCAATACATGAACAAAAACTTTTTTTATTTTCGTGTTGCTTAACTAACGAAAATGATCATAAATATTTCTGTTGCAGCTTGAAAGTAGATATCAAACGGTGCACAATTTAATGTGAACAAAAAAAAATTGTGCGAAGTACAAAGTCAAATCTTTCTAGTATAAGAAATTCTGTGTTTGAATTAGGGTCGGGGATGAGTTGCTTGAACCAAATTTTGTTCCTTTTTTTCAGAAAACTTTCCCACGTTAGAAAATAGAAAAAAATCTGGTTTTTTATCTTTGAAGATAGATTTCATTGGCTTTTAATGTTTCTTAATCGATTTAAAAAAAATACTTTCCATCAATAAAACTATAATAACCAATCAAGAAAGATACGATCAATTGAAATTTGCCTTTTAAGTGGAAAAAGAAGATTTCGGCAAGAATTAAATAACATCATTTTAATGGATTTTATTTTGATTTTTCGTCAACATTTCTTACATGGGCGTTATAGCTCGTAACTGGTAACAATCAAAAATCTTTATCATCCGAATGTTTTCTAAGTTTCATTTGCCCAATAAATAAAAGTAGGCGATTCGTTTGGTTTAATAATATTCTTCAACTACATACAGGGCCAACTACACTATCAACTGCATTAAATAGCATAAATTTTACTCAAGTGAAACTGGATGAACTCAATACTAAAATTAACACGGTAGCTCAAAATAGTAATCGACAGAACACTTTGAAATTGATCAGCGAGTATTTTAATGGTGAAAACTGATGTTAATAAATAATAGTCTTCAAAAATTTAGAGAGCTTACGAACGCATCATGGTGTTTTTTTTAAGTATTAAGATCGTTCAACCTTATTCAACACGTAATCAGTATGATGATAAAGTTTTTACGATGTTTGTAATAAATGAATGCAGTGATTGTGGAACCCCATTGTTTAGAATTCTTTTTTTTTTTTTGCAAAAGAAATATACTTTTAATAGTACATTCTAAATTGGGTCGAGCTCGTCTGCATTCTAATAAAGTAGAACTCGAATCTGACCGAGTTATCATAAAGTAGTTTCAATATCGAAGCTTGGCTCATATTAACTTAAAATCAGAGAATAAAAGCATTCTATTAAAATCTATTAGACTTGTTATATCTGTTTCATCATATGTTTTTCTGTTCGCTTTAGTCTTATGGTAAAACTTACAGCTCGATCAACTCTTTCAAGGGATAATTTAAGTACAGAATGTTGCATATTTGTTGATGAACTTGCAATAGTTTGTGTCAAATGATCAAGTGCATCATTTATATCACTATTAAGGATGAGAACATCTTGTAATTTATCTTGTAAATAACATAAGCGTTCATTTGTTTCACGTTCAAAAGTTTTTATCCGTGCAAGACCACCATAAGTAAAACGAGAATGATGTACTGCAGGTGCACCTAATGTAACCATATTATAAATTGATCCTAAAAAAAAATCATTCAACCAATATAAAAAAAAAACAAGCTTCTTTTTTGTTTTGATCATATACTTTGTGAAGGATCATCTCCACTGCTAACTAACAGTTGTTGCAAATGTAAATTAATTGGTACATGAGCAATTTCAGGTTTCATTCGTTCAATAGAACGTCGAAATAAACGTCCTAAAAATATAAATGATTGTGAAAAAAGAAACGAATATGAAAAGCTCAAATATTACCACTACATGTACTTTCATGAGCTTGAATGGCTTCAATCAATTCTGAATAACGTTGAATAAAGTTTTTATAAATACGTATACAACTCAGTCGATGAATCTCTTCTCTGTCACTTAACTAAATATTTAAATGAAGTATTGCAAGTATTTGAAACGAAAAAGAACACCAACCGGTCCTAATTCTTCAGCAAATTGAATAAATTTTTCTGCACGTTTCAAATAAAATTGACTAATAATCAAATTAAAAAATAATAAAAATATAACAATAATATAATGTTTCCTTACAGATAACAAATAGGTGTAGAAAAATTACCAACATATTCTGACATAAGTTGAACAACATTCAATTTTTTTCCATGATCTCTTGTTTGAAATTCAAAATATCGCGGCAAAAAATTATTTGCTATTTGTTGTAAATTTATTTTTTCATCATCAACAAATGATATCATCGATTTTGGTATAACTGCAGCTGGATTTATATTATTAGCTATAGAGTCGCGTGCTCTATCAACTAGAGTGTTGACCAACGAAGCCATCTAAAATAATTAATAGTAAAAGTTAACTTTATTATTGAATTATCTATTCTGAATACATACTTTTCGCACAATAAGTTTATGTTTAACAATAAATCGATAGTGAAGCATATAATTCACATCTAGGTACAAAAAGACAGATAACAATTATTGTCCTTGTTATCATAATGGCTCACCTTGCTATAAAAAAAAAACAACTAGATTATAACAATCCAGGGATAAGATATCAAACACAAGAAAAGGAAACATAGCTTGTGATTTTGTTTTTGTTCGCTGATATTATGTTTTTTTTTTAATAGTTTATTTGTTCCGAAAAAAGAATAAAAATGAAGAGAATCGACAACTACAAAACAACAATAATGACAAAAAAAAAACAAAACAATAAATGATCTACTATAGAGTATTTTTCCTATGCCTCATATATTACTTTTTTTTCTTCGTTTATAAATAGAAAAACAACAATTATAGAAATGTGATAATAATATATCATCCCTCGTAGGATTTTTTTATCTCTCATATAAATAAAAGTCGAATAAGAAAAAAAACAAATAGAAATAAAAACAAAATCTTTGTTTCTTTTTTTTTTTCACAAAAACGCATACACATACAAAAAGATTTATATTTATTTATTCATCATTTTCACTTGATGCAGCTCCTGCACTATTTGTATCACTATTTGTTTGTCGAGATTTTCGTTGGTTTGGACTTTTTCTTGGTGAACGATCTAAACAAAAAAAAAATTTAAATCAGATTTTGTTTCTTTTTGCTGAAAGACTTACTTTGAGCAAGATGATGTCTTGGAATCCAATCAATATCATAACTACCTTTAGCTTGTTGATTACCAAGAAGGTTTTGTGAACCTTGCTTACCAACAGCTCGTTTTACACGATTTGAAAGTAAATACTGATAAGCTAAAAATCCTAATAAAACTAAAATCGCACCAAGGAATACGTAGAGGAAGAATCTAAATTTAAAAAAAAAAAAAAACTTTTATTATTTTTATTAAAACATTATTTTTGAACTTTTTTACGTTTCTCCATCAAATCCTTCATCAGCATCGGTTAAATTAATTGTTTGATTGAAAACTACATTTTGAAAACGTTTTCCTTCCTACAAAAAAAAAAAAAAAAAACTCTCATATATCAAAGGAAAGAACTTTGTTTTTCATACATTATTTCGATAATTAATTAAAACAACTAAACCCATTGGTCGTCCATTAAATGTTTCACTTGGCATAAATAAATATTCAAATGTTGATTCTAAACTAGGTTCAAGAACTTTTTCGGAACGTAATAAAGTAAAATTTTGAATATAATAACTATAATCTTGTGGATAACGTAATGAACCATCAATAGATTCAACAATAAAATTTTGTGTACCATTATTACGTGTACCAACCAGTAAACGTGTTAATTTACCAGCAATTAATTCTACAAAAAATACAATTATAAAGTTTTATTTATTTATTTTTTTTAGAATAAAAAACAAACCATTTGCTTTTGCTGGTTGAATAAAAATATAAACTGTATGAAAATCTGGTGATGATGGTATACGATTTGGATCCTCATCTTCTTTTCCTTCCTAAAAAAGAATTTGAAATAAATCTATTTTGACATCTTACAAAGAAAGAAGGTCTACGAGTGATAAACTAATGTTCAGTTGAAACCAGATGCAATAAATAGAGTCTAGGTTTAGATACATACCGTAGAGTTGTTCAAATTGTTAGATCTTTGTTGCTGAGTTATCAAGTATTTAGAAAAAGCTTCCTACACAGCATCAGTTTTCAAGTGATATCATGCTTTTGAATTTTCACTTGAGAATTAACCCAAATAATAGTTGAGATTAGACTAGCCTGTAGAAAAAATTTTACAACTTTTTTTATGCTGAAAAATTGATATCTTAGAGAGAGACTCTGTCAAAGAAATAATTTTTTTTCTAAAAACTAGTCTAATCAAAGCCATAATATGAGTAAAATCTTATGTCGAAATTCAAAAGTATTACTTTACCTAAAAACTGAAGCTCTCTAGGAAAAATTTACTAAAAATTCAACATCTAAGCAACAGAGACCGAACAGCTTGAGCCACACTAGAATATTTATCTACTGACCAGGCTTTATCTATCGAATATAGTTTCAACTAAAAAAGCAATTTATCACTTCAGAATCTTATCTCGTTAGCTATCTTTTATTTCATACAAGTATATCATTTGCCGGTGTTATTGTTTCATCTGAACGTAGAACAGGTTCTTGTTCTTGTTCTTGTTCTTCTTCATCGACTTCTACATCATTGTCGACTGGATCTTCTGAACCAAAAACAACTATAAAACAACGAATTGATGATTTTTTTTTTTTTCGAAAAAGGATTTCATGATTTCTATTAGTTTTTTTTACCTGTAGTAGAAAGAAATAATAAGCCAAAAATTGTCAAAAACGAAAATAGTCGGATAATATTCATATTTAACCTTAATGTGATGTAGAAATTATGAAAATTAATAATTACGACGAACAAGAAGATATATTCATGGTTTTACCAATGAACACGCAAACTTTTTTCTATAACCAATAGAAATAAGATAGATACATCATCTAGATTAGTTTTCTTGAAAATAAAATTACAAAAGAAAAACAGAAATTTTAAATTAGAAAAAAAAATTTTCTTTCAAATTAATTGTTTTTGTCATTGTATTTTATTACTGACATCTCTATTATTTCATTTTGATTAAAAAACAACTTGAGCAATGGCGATTTTCTGTTCTTATTGGTTAATTAATACATAAACTATTAATCGGTCGTCGATCAAACTATTTGCTCAATCAAAAAATCTACTATGTCGACACTTTGTCGTTTTGTTTTACCATCAACATTATCACCAATTGAAGAAGCATGTGTAGCTGAATTTAATGAATATAAAAAACGTATGAAAGAAATTTCACATAATAAATCATCAAATAAACGTTTTACAACAACAACGGGAGGAATAACAACAAATTCAACACATACTCATGATTCATCTCATCATCATCATCAAAAAGATCCTATAAGAAATCCTGAACAAGCTAAAGAAGTAGCTAAAAAACTTGTACAAAGTGGTGCTATTAAAGTGCAAGCACAAGGTAAGGACCAAGGATTTAAACGTGCAACATCATCTAATACTGGACAAGAACGTACGGTTAAAAAAATGAATTTAACACCAAATACACCATCACCATCATCTTCAATATCAAATCAAACAAATCCATTTCAATCGATTCCATTCGTTAGTCCAAATTCTACACCAAAATTTGTAAATACTAATTCTCATGAAAGCAAAAGACGTGTTGTTAATTATGATGATACAGACAATTACTAGTGATTCTTGTATTTTTGTTTTATATATGTCAATATATTTCTAGATTAATAGAAAAAAACTAATTTTTATCTTAAAATGAGTCGAACAGCTTCAGCCGGTTTCGATCGTGATATAACTATTTTTTCACCAGAAGGTCGACTTTATCAAGTTGGTTAGTAGTTTTGTTTTGTTGAGTAGAAAATATTCTTTCGAAAAATTAAATTATCTATTATATATTTCTAGAATATGCTTTTAAAGCAATCAATCAAGGTGGTTTAACAACAGTAGCTGTTCGTGGTACAGATTGTGTTGTTGCCATAGCTCAAAAAAAGATTCCAGTGAGTATTCTTTTCAAAAAATGAATTGAAAAGGATAGTTTGTTAAATTTTGAATGTGTCTTGGGATATTTCGTAAATCTTATGAAATAGGATAGAACGACTAATTTTTTTCATTAAATATCACGCGATGGGACTGAATAGATCAAATTGTCCCATGAGATATTCTTTTTCTTTTTTGAGTATTGTTCTCGATTGTGTTCAGAGATGTGGATGACAGTAAAATTCTTTTCCACAAACATTTTCTCCTGATGAAAAATTGGTTTATGTGTATTGCAGATGTATGGTATATAGTAATGGTGACAACATTTTTCTCTGTCAGGGAATGCGATACAAAATTAAAATGTTACCCTGTGCATGTTTAATGTGAGTTTCAGTAGCAAGAATATATGAGTAAAAGTCATAGAAACTAAAGCAAATAATCCAATTTCAAGCTGTTAAATAGATTGCGTCGCTGAGATTCTTTTTTTCCTATAAAAGATTGAATAAAATGGACTCTATCATAAACATTAGAAATTCTAGTTTGTCAGATACACCGAAAATTTGGAGATGCAGATCAACATCGCGTTTATCGAAAACTTTTTTTAATTTTATTATAATCTATTAGTTACAAGATTTTTGAAAATATGACGAAAAATGGCGATGTGCTCGCAGAAGCCTAAAGTTGAGTAATAGTAAATTAAAGTAGACTTCAGCCAACATTGTAAAATTAATATTTTCAAACTCGAATAGAGTTGCTAAAAATCTTCTGGAATATCTCGACTAGTCTTTTACGTACTCCTATGATTCTATTCTATAATATAGAGCTAATGAAATTGAACGGCTGTGTTCTGTAGGATGAGAGCTTCGGCAATAATCGTAACTTACTTGGATGATAATAGTTCTGGAATTTTAAGTCATTGTATGGATTTCTGTTGAGTTTAAAACGCATCGGTTTCAAAAGTTTCAGATTCAGTCGAATCATATTTTGATACTTTATGATATTTTCCAATCAGAATTGGATAGTTGCCCAGAACATACGAGATATTTTTTTTTTTCGGTTTCTTTTGTATTTAGTAATTAGTGCAATCCTACACATTTCTCAAACGACTAGATTTCATCGGATTTGAAAATTTCAGAGCTGGGTCAATTCGATTGGTTCTAGTTGGACTTCACAATACTTTTAACAATTTGAGTAGAGAGATCTTATGAGTTCTCATCAACTTCCTAATTCACGACTCCTTCTTTTCTATTTTGTATACATACACGATAATATCATATAAGGATCCTGTGATAGTCTAACTGTAAGAGAAGTAGATAATACTCTGACCAAAGAAATAGAGAAGTTTGTAAAAGTTATAATCTACATCAAGGCTTAGTATATATATACGAGTCGCATAACGAAAAGGTTAAATAATATGATATTAAATCTTTCATTGTACTAGGATAAATTACTTGATCCTTCATCAGTTACTCATTTACATGCCATTACGCCAACTGTTGGATGTTTAATGACTGGAATGGTTGGTATGTATTCATCATTGAATATTCGTTTTATTTTAATTACTATTATTATTATTATTTTTTTTAAAACGTATAGCCGATTCTCGATGGCAAGTACAACGTGCTCGATATGAAGCAGCATCATGGAAATATAAATATGGTTATGATATTCCTGCTGATGCTATATGTCGTCGTATAGCTGATATTTCACAAGTTTATACGCAAGAAGCTGAAATGAGACCACTTGGATGCAGTAAGATTATTTTGAATTTGTTTTTAGTTTTCGAAATATAACAAATCAATATATAGGTATGATTTTACTTGGTATGGATGCAGAAAAAGGTCCTATGTTATATAAAACTGATCCAGCTGGATATTTTTGTGGATTTCGTGCAACAAGTGCTGGTGTAAAACAAACTGAAGCAAATAATTTCTTAGAAAAACGTATTAAGAAAAAATCAGATTTAACATACGATGAAGCTATTGAAGTAAAGATCTTGAATTATATTAAAAGAATCTTGATAATTTATGATTTTTATTTTTAGTTGGCTGTTTCAACATTAGCTAATGTACTTTCAACTGATTTAAAACCAAGTGAAATTGAAATTGGTGTTGTCACTAAAGATAATGTTAAATTTCGGTTTGTTTGTTTTTTTTTTCTATTTGAATTAATCAATCTAAATAATTCATTTTTTTTTTGTAGAGTATTGGCAGAAAGTGAAGTAGAACAACATCTAACACGTATTGCTGAAAAAGAATAAACAATATATGAATTTTTTTTCTATGATCATAACGTTCAAAAAAATCCAGAAATTGTTGTTATTTGCCTAGCCTTTTTCTTTTCTTTTGTTTTTTTATGATTGTGATGAAACAAAACATCCTTTACTCTATCAAAATATCTTTCATTTCAGATATTAAAACCGTCATTATATGGATGGAGACGGTTAATTTATTCTTTTTTATTTATTTCACAGCGATAATAGCATTCAATGCAATCGCATCAAGTCCAACGGGACGTGTTTTATCAAGTCGAAGTGATCCGTCTATTCGCGATCGTTTACCTAAAATTGAAATGAATGCAACAAGTCATTCAATTGTAATGACACTTCATCCAGCAACAATTAATGATGACACAATAAAACGTTTTCGTTTACAATATGGAATTAATTATCCTTATCAACATACAATTTACATAAATAAAAATCAAACTTCAGTATTTATTGATAAACTTGGTAAAAATGAAAAATATTAAAAAAGAAATAAAAGAATATTGAATATCTATTTTTTTTTTTTTTAAGAACCAAATCAAAAATATATTTTTTCATTAATTGCACTTAATGAAAATAATGATACAGTGGTTCCGGAACAATTCTATGATTTTCAAATGCCATCAGAAGGTAAAGTTATATGCAATAAATATCTCCCTATGCTGAATTTGAAAATCATTATTACAAGTCGGATTCCTATTTCAACCTTTTTGAAATGAACAAACGTGTACTTCTTTTGCTCTCTCTTCTCTTTATCATTTCTGACTGATGCACTAAACCTACTGATATAACTATACATTCTACTGAAAATCAAAAAAAAGTCACAAATCATCATACATTAAATGAAAAAATTCATTTAATTAATGATAAAATCCATCGTAATACTAAACAACAATCGAAAAATCAAATATTTCGCTTTGACTTGTATCTAATATTGTAAACATTTTTCGAAAGTCCTAACAATGTTCATTTAAGATAGATTTTATTATAGTTTAAAATAACAATGAAATATTTAATTTTTTTTTTCTTTAATTAAGATGATGATCGTCAACCACCAAAAACTCCACTTGAATTAAATTTAATTTCACATTCAAAAACATCTGTTGTTCTTCAATGGACTGATGTAGATTTTCCAAAAAATATTCGTTTACCATCATCACGTCGTTATAAAATTCAAATTAATGAATTAAATTCAAATCAACAAATAGTTAAACAACAAGAAATATTAACAAATAATGAACAATCATATTTAATTGAAAATTTAAAACCATTAACTAATTATGAATTTGCTGTTCGAACACTTGATGGTGATCTTGAAAGTGATTATTCAATGGCAATTGAATATTCAAATGTTATTTATCCAATAAAACAATTAAATATGATAACAAATAATGATTCATCAAAAGTTACATTAACATGGCAATTACCTGATGATATAAATGGTATTAAATCATTTAATATTTATTATAATGAACAAGATGATAAAGGACAAGAACAAAAAATAAGTGTACCAGTTGACATAACACAAGTAACTATTTCAAATTTAAAATCAAATACAAAATATTTATTTAAAATTGTTTCTGTTAATCAATTTAATGATGAATCAACACCAGAAATAAGATTATATAAAACACCTTATAGTAAATTTTATATTATTTTGTTTTTATAAAATTCTATAAGAATTTATTTTTCATTTTTAGCTATTGATACCAATAATATAGAATCAAATAAAAATACAAGTATGTTTGTTTTTTTTTTCTCATTTTGTCAAAAATTAACAGAAAACAAGAAAAGCTATAAAATAGTTATGTTTTTATTTATTCATATCAATAGTTTTGGTCAGATTTATAATTTACATCATGAGATTTTACTGAATTTTCGACTCATTTGTATATATTTATCGAAAAAACAACTAATTGAATTTCTCAGCTTCTTGGACAGGAACCCTTCTGAGCTTTTTCTTGTCTTATGGAGACCTCCTTATAGGTTCAACAATATGAATTCGAAGGACGAATTACAGTTGAGATAGTTTCTTCGTCAATTTAGGAAAGAATCTGTGAAACTTTTATTTAATATTTTAAAACAAAAGCAGCCAAAAAAAACATATTGTTTATTAATTTATTTAGATCAAAATTTATTTGGATGGCCATCAATGGGTTTATCAAATAATTCATGGCTTCTTATTTTAATTGTATTCAGTATTATATTTTTCTGTATATTCTTTTCTGGTATTCTAATTTGTTCAAAATCAAATTGTTGTTCTTGTTGGTCAGCTAATAAAAAACATATCCATGATTCTCCAACACATAGTCATCAACGACAATATTCTCCCACAAGTAATACAGCATCATCATCATTAATAAAACCAACTGATTTATGGGCTGGTGCTGATTGTTTATCACCACCAACAGCAACAATTCGAAATTCTAATACTTCTGAAAGACATTATGAAACATCATCAACGGCTGGTAGTGGAACATTACAACGATGTAATCATCATCATCATCATCTTTATCATCATACACAAGAAACACAACCATTAACAAATAATATTGAATTAAATAGTGATCAACAACGACATTCATATGTACCATCAAATGATGGTTCAAGTTCAATTGATGGAAATACAAGTGGTTTTGCACTAAACGGAAAATTTAATACAAGTATTCGTACAAGACCTATTGCTGTTGGTGGACAATTTGAACAACAGACACAAAAGAAATCTATGAAAAATTTACGTATGTTTCAATGTTTATTTTATTTATCACATTAATAAGAAATAATTTTCTTTGATTTAGCCATGGGTACTGCATTTATTATGAATCATTCAAATCTAGTTCAACAACAACAACAACAACATGTAACTGTTCGACCTATTCAACAAAAAGCTCAATATATTGTTCGACCTAATGAACAATCACACATGATTGGATCAGGTAAAGACTTTTTTTAAATCAATAAACTTATGTCTAAATCATTGTTATTTCTTTTCTTCGTTTAGGTCCATCATCACCTGATTATCAACATTCACCATCAAATAGTCATTGTAGTTCAAATCATAATCCATCATCAATTCAATCGATTCCTATAACAGGAACTGGTCTTTATGATAAAATATCTACTTCAAATAATAATAACAATAATAATAGTGAAAATTCAGATAATCAACGTGCAATACTTCTTCCATCAAAACCAAATTTACGAAGCTTTACTGTACCTGTTGCTCCACCAATTATTCCACCACCACCATCAATTACAAATAAACAACAACAAGCTATCATTATACCAACAGCATCTCAATGTAAATTTATTATATAGGGTTGGCCACAATTATACAGTGACTTGTTCGAATAGAACTGTGATAAGTTTCGAAAGATCTGTATTCGGATATGGTCTGTCGGACCTTAGGAAAATAGTTGATTGCGAAGATCTGACGGCTTTCACCTGACCAAAATTATAGGTTTGATATGGTATTTTTCTCATGTTTTTCAGAGTGTAACATTAGTCTCACTCGAAAGTGATATTGATGACATAGACTATCTGATTGAGAACATTTAGAACTGATTTATGCTTGATTTTAACGATCGTACTTTAGCGAGTATTATCGGACTCGAAATGAATGCGAATAGAAAACACGTTTTTCTTGGTAAAAATAAGTTGCAGAGCTCCGATCATTAGAAGAACACCTATTGTATGACAATATATACTACCCAAGTCAGTCCATAGAACGTACGGAGTACTTTTATTCGTTCTGAAATATTACATTCGATTGCCTTTGTTGCAAATAACAACATTTGCACCAGTATCTGCGAAGCATGTAAGTATCATTATCGAAGTTTTAACATTTTTACAAGCCTCTTGTGCATAATGTTCACAAAGGGATAAAAGTAATTTGTATGGGCTACGAACTAACTTGAATAATCTATATTGTAGTATTACATTTATAGCTCTAACAAACGAAACTCTCCGATTTTTTATTCTCAAGCAAAACATGTTTTCTTTTCAAGTTTGCTCTGTAAAAAGCAGTTCCGCTACGATGTCAATAATACTAGTTGAAGTTCGATTATGAAATCAAGCATAAATCAGTTTGAAAAGTTTGCCATATGAAATATGTTCAGAATCAGTTCCTCTACTTATCAATGTCAATTTCTAGTAAGACTGATGTTGCATTCTATGAAAAGATGCGGAAATATCATTCTATAAATTTGGCCAGATAAAAGTCAACAGATCTTGACAACCATCTGTTTTCCCAAAGTCTGATATCATATTGATATAGAACATATCCTAATACATGTCTTCACATAATTTTGTTTTTTTCCGTAAGAGAATTCATATAGTCGGGACTTATCACATAGATCTATTTAAAAAAGTAATTCTATAATATTGGTCAACACAGTATTGTTTTTTCTTTTTGTTTCTTGAAAATAATCTTTTCTTTTTTTGGTTTATTAGATAAATCTCCATTTCGTAGTCCGAATCGGCCATTATTAAATAATTATACAAAAGAAATTAAATCAATAGATACTGATGAAATTGATAAAAATCCTGCCGATGTACTTGAAGATGTTCGCAATCAATTGGGCAATTTAATGAAAAAAGATTTTCAATGTTAGATATTCAATTTTTTCGCTTTCTTTTTTTCCTCAGGAATTTACTTTTTTTTATTATTATTAATATTGTCAATGTGGTGCTAGATATCAAATCTATTTGCTTTTTTTTCTTCCGTGCAACATAATCTTCTCATTTCTTGTCAGACATTATTTTATCTCTTGTATAACGCTGATATATATATACATAGTCATTTCGTGTGTGTCTTGTAATATTTACGTCTATAGAAAAGTTTTCTTTTTTTTTTATTTTAGACGTAAAAAAATAGTTTAATAAATTGAAAATAAAATTCTTTTTCTTTTGCTTTCTTTTTAAGATTTCATAATTATTCTCTTAAATGCCTCGATATGCACAATTAGTTTTAGTGAGTTTTAAAATAGTTTAATTTTTGAAAAATTTCAATTCAATGAAATTTTCTAGGGACCAGCTGGTTCAGGAAAATCAACTTATTGTAGTTCAATGGTTAAACATGGTGAAGTAATTAAACGAACAATAAATGTAATTAACCTTGATCCAGCAGCTGAACATTTTGATTATCCACTTTTTGCTGGTAAATTTTTTTCTTTTAGTTTTTTTTTTTTTGTAAATTACTAAAAAGTAATTTTATTTAGATATTAGAGAATTAATTGAAATTGATGATGCAATGGATGATCAAGCACTTCGATTTGGTCCAAATGGTGGTCTTATTTTTTGTATGGAGTATGTCATCATTGAAATTCTATTTAAAGATTAAGAAAAAAAAAGTATTTTTTTTGTTTTTGCAGATATTTTGAACGAAATCTCGATTGGTTACATGAACAATTAGGTGATGAAGAAGATGATTATTTTCTATTTGATTGTCCCGGTAATTAAATTCATTATTTTGTTTATTTATTATTGATTTCTTTAAATGATAGGTCAAATTGAATTATATACTCATGTACCAGTAATGCGTCGTGTTGTTGATCAATTACAAAATTGGAATTTTCGTGTATGTGGAGTATTTCTTATTGATGCACAATTTTGTGTTGAACAATCAAAATTTTTAAGTGGAATGCTTACAGCATTATCATCAATGATTCAACTTGAGATACCATTTATTCATGTTTTATCAAAAGTTGATCTTTTATCAAAACGTGATAAAAAACAATTGAAAAAGTATTTATTTTTAATCATATTTAATTGAATTGTTTCATTCTTTTTTTTTTCTTTCTTTTCTGTTAGATTTATTGATCCTGATGTATATCAGTTAGCAAACAGTGAATTATCAAATAAATTTCTCGGTCGTTATAGTCAATTGAATAAAGCAGTAGCCAGTGTGATATATGATTACAGTTTAGTGAAATTCTATGCATTAGATATGAGTAAAGAAGATTCTATAACAAATTTATTAGTCGAAATCGATTCAAGTGTACAATATGGTGAAGATTTCGATGTAAAAGAACCTAAAGAAGTAGAAGATGATAAACAAGATGATTTTCATGATGATGAGTGATTATGTAATACTCTATTTTTTTTTTTTTGTTTTCTTTTGTTTTGTACAAAAAAAGAAAAATAAACTAAAGAAATGTTATCAACAAAGGTTTATGACGTTATATGTGTCTTATGAAAGAAAGAAAGAAAGAAAGAAAGGAAGAAAGAGAACGGGTGGTTATTGCACCATCACAAACAAATGCACTTAATAGACGTTTCATCATGTGGCCGATTGTTTTTCTTTTCACTTTTAGATTACATACAGCCAAAATAGTCATGTCGAGTAAGGCATGTAAATGTGGTGGGACAGAGATCGATACGGATCCAGCGCGAGGTGTTACTGTATGTATGCTATGTGGTGAAGTTATTGAAGATATACGTATTGTTAATGAAGCTGAAATAACTGAAACAAGTGGTGGTGGTATACAAGTTATTGGACAATTTTTATCAGAAAATGATGTTCGTGGTGGGAGTGCTGGTGGTATGATGAATTTTAATATTCGAGAATCAAGACAAATAACATTACATAAAGCTCGTCGAGGTATAACAGATATTGCAAGTAATATGCGTATGAATCATCATTGTATCGATGCAGCATTTAAGGTAAGTTAGAAAGAAAACCACATTTTTTTTTTCTAATTTTCTTTATAATAATTCTTTGAAATTTTGCTTTTTTCTTTTATTAAGATTTATAAAATGGCACTTGATCGAGGATTATCTCGTGGAAACAAATCTACTCATCTACTTGCTTCTTGTTTATATATTATTTGTCGAACAGAAGGTACTCAACATATTTTACTTGATTTTTGTGATCATGTTGATGCTGATATTAGTGTATTAGCAAGAATTTATTTACGATTAGCACGTGAGTTATGTATTAATGTTCCACATACAGATCCATCATTACTTATACCACGTTATGCAGCTAAACTTGATTTTGGTGATCGAACAAATGCTGTTTCTAATACAGCTTTACGTATTGTTCAACGTATGAAACGTGATTGGCTTAATATTGGTCGTCGTTCATCAGGTCTTTGTGGTTCAGCATTATTATTTGCTGCACGCATGCATAATTTTAATCGTACTATTCAACAAATAGTTGATGTTGTTAAAATATCAAAAGCAACAATAATAAGACGTTTACAAGAATTTGAAACAACACCAACAGCACAACTAAATATGAAAGAATTTGATACAATTGAACTTGAAGAAGAACAAGATCCACCAGCGTTTTCAAAAGCTAAACGTATGACAAAACTTGCTCAATATGAAGAATCATTTAATATTGAACAAATTGAACGTGAAATACTTGAAACACAAAAACAAATTGATGAACAATTAGAAAGATTATCTAAACCACGTGGTCAATTAGCTAAGTATGAAATTCATTGTTATTTATTGTTTATAGTTTTTTTTTTTTTATATCATATCTATATTATATTTTAGATATGCAAAATATGTTGATTTAGAAAAAACTGTTTTACATACTGAAGAAGATGATTTAATTCAAAAAGTTCTAACTAATAAAAAAACAAAGAGAAAACTATCAACTGATGAAGATGATGAAATATTATCAACAATGGTAACAACGGAAACAGAATCAGCACCAATCGATGAGAATGATATGAAATGGGCTGCCAATTATATTGAAGAACAACAAGCACAATTAATTCTTTCGTTACTTGATGATGGTGGGAAATTAACAAATAATACTAATAATGATGAGGATGATAATGAACAGCAAAATAAAGAAGACGATTATAAATCTCTTCGACCATCGTTAACAACGATGGGCATCGGTAAGTTATTCATCAATAGTTTATATCATAATTCATACGTTCTATAAAAATTTTATTCAGAACCAGTAACAGCATCCTTAAATTATTCAAAAGATAATCTTAATTCAACAACAGCAAGTATATCTTATCATCGTCAAGTTGTACTTGATCTTCCAGAATGGCAACCATCAATTGATTTATCGAATGAAGAACTTGATTTAACCGGTATTGATGATAATGAAATTGAGGAAATGATTTTAACACGAGATGAAACAAAACTTAAACTTAAATCTTGGTTACGCGAAAATAAAGATTGGTTCTTAGAAGAAAAACGACGTCAACGTAATAAAGAAGCTGCTGAACAAAAGAAAACTGGTTCAAATAGTATGACAGCAGCACAACGACGTAAACGTAAGAAGAAAGCAGCAGCGACAGCATCGAATGAGCTAAATAAAACAACAAATAGTATTAATACTCATCATCAATTAGCTGGTTTTAATTCATTGACACCAGCTGGTTTAGCTGCTGCAGCTCATTTAGCACTTGAAGCAGAAAAGCATTCACAAGACAAACGTGTATCAAGTAAAATTAATTATGATGTATTAAAGAGATTGACAATGAAAAAAGATGGAACAGGACAAACACCATCATCACCAGCAATGACGAATACAAATGAAACTGAAAGAACTACTTAGATTCATTTTATTTTCGTCTTTTTGCGTTTTGTTTACTGTTTTCGTTCTGTTCGCTTTTTTTCTAGCCAATAATGATTGCCTTTTGTTCCGTTTACAAAAGTATGAATGTACAAAAAAAAGAAAAAAATTATATTGATTTATCTTTTTATAGAAATATTGACTATAGATAAAATTTCAAAATAGTACATTGTTTTATGACGCAACCAAGCGTTAGCGGAATATTTCGATCGGACTAATCGATAATAATAACCATATATATATATCTATTTTAAACGATAACTATTTATAGATGAACGAACTTGGAAAAAATTTCAGACACTCGGAAGAAAACAATAATGAAGTGGAAAGTATTAGTCCTATATCAAACGAATAGAAGAAAAGAAAAATAGCTGTATAAATATATTGTACATGTCATTTATATAAGATAGCAGGAAGAAAAAAAAGGAAAATAACATATACAGGTGATCCATACTGTAATACCAAGTACACGAGTCTTAACCAAATTGTTCAAATTATCTGTTGAAGCTGTTGCCTTATCTACTTATGATAGTAGTACGAATAAGAAAGCAATGTGATGTGTAGATTTTAGTTATGTATTGATGACTCGTTTTCATTTTCTGATAATCGTTAATCTGAAAAGAAGATTTTTTCTCTTATAAAGTTTAGTCGCGTTGTATCAACTTTGTTACTTCTTTTATTAAATAGTGTCCTACATGGATATGAATTTTCGAAAGTGGTCTTTACTTTTGTGACCTGTTCTCAGGCACAATAAATTGTTTAATCATGATCGCATCAGTTTTCACTCCTCCGTTATTATATAAATTAGCAGTTTGAAAAACTTGAAATGTTTTGAAACGTTAAAATCTCATTGAATGTCGAACTTGGCCACAAAACACTATTATTAAACTATAGTGAAGCCTATATAGTTTTCACTACTTTAGATTTTGAAATTCCTGTAAACCAACTTTGCTTGATTTGTCTATGTTTGTATCAAGCGATTTAGTTCAAACGAGTTTTTGTGAAAAAGATCCAGCTGTTTTGATAACAATAAACACATCAATAATAAAGATCTTGCAAAATTTGTACAAAATAAAGTCGATATTTTCAACAAAATCTCTTATGATTTGTTACAGGTTTTAATCATTTGATGAAATACATTTAATCGCAATGAAAGACGAATAGACAATCATAGAAAATATTATTTAAAACATTTCATGAATATCTCTACACATTAATAGTCAAAAATAAAACTAAGTCTAAACGAACAGTTTATCGTTATTTGTATAAAAAAAAAGTTACTTTTTATTTTACCTAAGTATTTTTTTTTATAAAATTATATACTTTTGTGTTGTAAATCGTTAGTTTATGTTTGATTTTGCTTCCGATTGATGATGTAAATAGATATTCTCAAAATATCTCAAAATCAAAATTTTTCTATTGATGTCTATCTGTTATTTATTTAAGAGCAGTTTTTCTTATCTTTCAGTCATATCTGTCATATACGTCTTCAGTTAAAACATTTTACAGATGATTCATTAGAAAATTTTTTCTTCGAAATATTATGAAAATTATTTGAATCAAGATTTTGCTAGAACAAGACAACATATTTGATGATTTTATTTTTGATGCTGACAAAAAATTTCAAATAATGGTAGCAGGTGTATATGTTTCTCAACTTAACGAGCTAATGTTACAATAAAATTCTCCAATGAGTCACCAAGCACTGGATTTTTCCATTGTTATTGTAGTGTTATTGCGTAATATTTCACAGTAAACGTCAGAAATTGTGACAGTCTATTTTATTGTTTCATCTACTATAAATATGTGAGAAACAGAAGGGAGTGTCACTTTGCATCAAGTATTTGTCATCATGGTATGTTTTGTTCATGATCGTCATTTTGTTTCTAAATTCCATGCTGCTATCAATCAATTACGGAAAACAAATGAATTTACTATCTTAACATTACGACAACTACCAAAACGATGTTGTTCATGTCCAGAGAAAAGAAATAATATGACATCTAAACCAACAGAATCACTCTTAACATCAATGGATATTAATGAGTTACGACTTATTTGTCTTCGACTTGATTTAAAACAATATGCTGCTGCTCATATTTTATCACCACCGTCAAAAATCCGTAATTATACAGTTTTAGTTTATCCTACTGTTCTCGATTCAAAAATGGAAGCTACCATATCAAATAATTTTATTGTTCAACAAAATAATCAATTACGTGCTTTACAAAAAATGCATCATATTAATCTTGAATTTGTGACATCGAACACATCGAAGGAGTTACTATATGAAATCGCTCAAATAAAATTTGACATAGTAACCAAGTGCTCAAATTACTTAGAAGCAGTTAAAGCTATTAATGGTCTTTGGGTTATTATATCAATAGAAGATCAATCACGCATTGATATTGTGAAACACATGCTTCAGAAACAATGGATGCAATACATAAGAAACATTCCCACATACGCTACACATATGTTATACAATTGGCAACAGAATCATCTTTCAAAAGTTGCTAAGAATAAACGTTTAAATTTCAAGCAATCTAAGATTAATGCTCACGAGAAATTGAAGAAACAAGCAATAAAACGAGTCACACGATTTCAAACGTCAAAATCCATAGAAGAAACAGTAGAAACGTTAGATGAACTAGAAAATGAAACAGATACCACTAGCGAATGTCTGCCTGGTGAAATATTAATAATGGACAATCCACGATTCAAATTTCTTTTCAATCGATATGAAAATTCTAATAAATCTAGACGATCACGCACCCATCGACGACAACATATGTTGGCTATTGCTATGGCTGCTTAGATATTGTGTCAGATAAAATAATTAGTTAAGATAGAATAATATGTTCATGTGTTATATAAATATGTTTATATTGATGATATTATTTATTTTTGATTATTATTCGTGAAAAGATAAACATTTGAAATAGTATTTGTAAAAAAATAAAAACTTGTCAGAAATAAAAATTTCTATTCTAGATAGTAACCAAAATTTCAGCCAACTTAAAGTGCACGTATCATAATGGATATGAAAAAACAAATCGATTGATCATGCCGATGAATTTGCAGAAAGACTTTTGCTTTTGTTGAGAAAAGTACAAGATGAATGTTTCATTATGTGAAATTTATTATTTGTTGTAAACAAATAAATTGACCTGTAGAATATTGATCATAGATACCATTATGATAAATGTTCTGATAATGCGAGGCTCCATATAGTCAATGATTTGCAATCATTCAAATATTTGAAAACAGATCTCTTTTGTAGTTCGTAAATATAATTCTTCTGATGTAAGAAATTTAACATTGTGACGTGAAGTTCTGTCTACAGCATTTAGTTAATGCATATTTATGCTTCTTCCCGATGATATTTACAAGAAAATAAAATATCTAAATATCATGCTGGATTCTTACAGTTGAGCTATCGGAAATAGTGTCCTAAAACCTCATGGGGTGAGTACCCGCCATTCGGTCCAACATGAAGCATAGCTTCGAGTATAAAATCAGCAAGTCGATTCAGGTCTTACTATGGCCTCATACCCGAACCCGATTCGGCAATGAATGAAATCTTGACGTGTCAAAATAATTTTTGTTTTTCAAGCTGCTAATTTATATTCAAACATAGGAGTGAATATCAGCTCGATCATGATTGAATATTTTATGGCATTTGAAAACAGGTCACAGAAGTGGAATGCAATATTGTTTTATTAAGAGAATTCATTTTTAATGAAAATTCATCTACATATGATGATGATGAATCATACGATGAAGTAAGTGAATATATGTCGAAGAAACTGAATTATTCGAAATGTGAGCATGTACTGCCATAGTGGAAAAAGCATCCATGTATGTATCCATAATTATGACGTATGACACTAACACTTCGTTCCATTTCAGCATCACCATTAACAAACAAACGTATAAATAACGAAAATTGATCAAATTTTACTGGCAGAAAGGTTTCAGTAAACCCTGGTTCACTCGTGTTTTTTGTAAAGTTTAGCATAATATCGTTCTTTTTGTTGCGGTTTAAGGAAGAAAATAAATAGCATACTTTTGCATATAAAAAAAAAGTTTGAAAGCCGTACTATGACTGTAAAAGTATCTGCCGAATGTCGACTAGCTCTATTTCGGGTCGGAGTATAAGGTAGTCGGGTTCGATTCCGAAAAGTTGCAGCTGTTAGAGCACTAACGCAGAATCAACTAAATTGTTGTCCTAATAATTCAGTTTTGACATATGAAGCTTTTTGAAGGGCAAGTTTTGCCCTCTGATATTTACTGTGCAAATTGATATATTTTGGAGGTTTCACCAATGTCTTATAGAGACAACTGTGCATACAAAAAATTCGAAGTTAAATCCAATGCCGAGCTATTTCGACTCCAACTTTCTTTAATGTTCACAGGCCTTGCTAGGACCTCGTTAGAACCTTCAAAATGCATCAGCCTGTATAGTAAACACCAGAGAACAATATCTACTACTGAAAAAGTTCATATGTGAAAGTTGAATTATTGACAAAACATGAAGTTGACTCTATGCAAGACACTAGTCTGAAATCACATACGAAAAGTGTTAAGATTCATTCTATATATGTTGCGTTGCATTTTTCAAAAGTTAATTTTTCTTGATTGAAATCAACGATGTTAATTCAGACTATTATTTGAAAACGTGATTGCTTTAGAAAAAGATAATCATAATCCATTTAGTTGAAGTTGAATAAAAATATTTGAATATTATTTCTGTCATACACCTATTGCTGTTCCATCGTATATGCAATCAAGATATTATTGTTGAAATAAGAACATGAGAGTAGGAGTAAAATTTCAAGTATATAATGATAACGACCAAGCCATCGTAGTCAAAAAAAGAAAGATAACAGCAAGAAAAGCTAAACGAAGAGAAAGATTATAAAAAAAGATAAGAAATGAAAATTCTTGCACCAAAAAGTACTAACGACAAATTCCAAAAATGAAATCGAGGTTTTTTTAAGCAAGGAATTCAGTCATTTGCATATTTGGCTATCGTAACACGTGCCGCTCTTCTTTTTGTGTTGCTTATTAATATAAATTTCAGATTGCTAACAACAATTACGTCTATTCTCAATAATGAGTCATAGAATATCGTCTCTAAACAAGATAAATTCCTCTCTGACTAATTATCATTCTATTGTGACAAATGATAACGAGAATAAAGAAAGTACTATTATTCTCTGGTTTGATTCCAGTATAAACTCTTATACATATATAGAACAAACAAATAATTATCTAGAAGAAATTGACATTTATGTTGTCTTTCTTACTGAACTTGAACAATGTCTCAATTTCATTCGATCCATTGATCAAGAAAAAATATTTTTAGTTACTTCTGGTTTTAGTGCTACTCAAATTTTACCACATATTGCTAAATGTCGTCAAATCGATGTCATTTTCATAATTTCTACAGAAAAATCAAAATATGAACATTTAACATCTGTTTATTCGAAAATTCTTGGCATTTATACAAATTTCGATATCTTATATGCATCTATTCGTGAAGAAATTGATTTTGTTAATAAACAATTACTAACATTTAGTTTATTTAATCCACATCAGATATTATCAGAATATATATCGAAAGAATCAACCGAATTTCTTTGGTTTCAACTTTTTAGTCATGTTCTTTTTCGTCTATCACATTATCAACAAACGAAAAACCAAATGATTAATATGTGCCAACAATATTACTATGATAATGTGAGAGAACAAAGATTAATCGATGAATTTGAACAAGAATATCGTTCAGAAGAAGCTATTTCTTGGTATTTAAAACAATCATTTATTTCTAAACTGATGGCGAAAGCATTCAGAACTAAAAATATTGATCAATTACATATGATTCGTTTTTTTATTGGTGATCTAACAGAAAACATCGCACATGAACATCAAAAAATTCTATTATCAAATGAACAAATGCTGACCGTTTATCGTGGAGCAAAACTAACAAAAAAAGATTTGAAGAAATTACGAAAAAATGAAGGTACAATCATCTCTATAAACGACTATTTGTCTGCTAGTCGACATCGTTCATCAGCTTTTGATGTAGCTATGAAACCAACCAAACGAACTAATGTAGTATCAGTAGTCTTCGAAATCGAATGTAATATTCGAGAACTTGGTGAAAATATCATCTTTGCCGATATCACTCAATACACTGGATATTCTGATAGGCAAGAAGTATTATTCGATATAAAAACTACTTTTCGATTGAAAAATATTCAACGTCTTGCTCAAATATGGTTAGTAAAACTAGATGCATCGAATGATGGACAAGAAATTGTTACAAATTACCTTGAAGAAAAATATATTAAAACTGAAGAAAAAAGTATGTGTATTGTTTTTGGACGTTTAATGTGCAATTTGGGTCAATACTATCAAGCACAAAAGTATTTTGAACAATTATTAAGAGATCCTAATGGAGAAGATCTCGCTTGGATTGAATTTAATCTTGGTCGAATTCTTGATTTTAAAAATGAATGCAAAATGGCACAAAAATATTATAATCGTGCATATAATCGAATAATGAATGCTAAGCCATCACGTTGGAAAGATGCTGTGTATATGCTTAACAACCTTGGTATTATTTTATATAATCAAAGAAAAAATGATAAAGCTCTTGATCATTATCAACGAGCGTTAAAAATACAACAGAAGTTTAATTCTTTTAATAGTGTCGATCATACTCAAATTCTTAGTAATATTGCTTTTATTCTAAACATGCAAGGAAACACTAACGATGCTCTTAACTATTATAAACGAGCATTAAAAATATTAAAAAAATATCATTCTTCTAATAAAATCGATATTGCTCGCAATCTAAACAATATTGGTAATATTCTATATCAAAATGGAAATTATAATGAAGCCGCTAATCATTACCAGCAAGCACTGAAAATACAACAAAACATATGTCCTAATGGTCACAACAATAATGCTCATATTCTTAACAATCTTGCTCTTGTCTTAAATATACAAGGAAAGTACGACGAGGCCTTTGAACTCTGTCAATATGTACTTAACATACAACAAAACTTGTGTTCTTCTGATCATATTAGTATTGCTGGTAGTCTCAATAATATTGGTCTAATATTGTATAATTGTGGAAAGTATGATGATGCATTACATTATCATCAACAAGCTCTTATAATACGAAGAAAGTATTATCCGTCTGGTTCTATTGATACTGCTGAAAGTCTTAATAATATTGGTAATATTTTATATCAACACAATAAGTATGATCAAGCCCTAAACTATTATTTAGAGACACTTGAAATTCAAGAAAAGTTTTATCCACCTTGTCATCTCGATATTGCTCTATGTCTTAATAATATTGGTTGTGTTCTTGATCGACAAGAGAAATATGATGAAGCCTTTCATTATCATCAACATGCACTTAAAATAGAACAGAAATTATATACATCCGGGCATCCTAATATGGCTTATACTCTTAATAATATAGGTAATATTCTATGTCAACAAGGAAAGTATGAAGAAGCTCTTGATTATCATCAACAAGCGCTTCAAATTCGAGAAAAATATTATCCTTCTGATCATGTCGACATTGGTGATAGTTTGAATAATATCGCAATGACTTATACACATATGCAGAAATCAAAAATATCTCTTGATTATTTACAGCAAGCCTTGGCCATATATGAGAAAATTTTACCATCGAGACATACCAATATTGAAACAGTTAAAAGAAATATTCGTTGTATCACTACAAAAAAGTAACTGTTTGCGCTAAGTACTATTTGCAATCAGGTTCATAGCTATGAAATCAATGCTTTGTACATATAAACAGTCGTTAATCCATGTAGTTTTTAATACATTTTTATTGTCTGTAAAAATTGTCTTGTTATTTATTTCGAGTAATATTCCAGTGTTTGTGATACAATACTATTAACTCAATTGTTTCGAATATGAAACTGGAAATGTTAACTTTCCTTTACCAGTAGAAATCAGCTAACAATTGAACTGAATACATTTTATATACATGCAATAATTAATTAGAATAGTTTAATGAAGGAATTGTTAATACTTCAAGAAATATTGTTTAAACTATAGTTTTTTGGTTTCAAATTCAAACTGCAGAATGGCTTGTGTAATTGCTTGTTTTAAAACAAATTTTTATTGTTTTAGCACAGTATATGGATGTTTTGCTAAAGAACATTATAGACTACATGATGAAATAACATTATTAGTAGACTATAGAACTGGATAGATGGAAAAGTTAAATGAAAATCTTGTGTGCATAAATGTATGATATAGGCTTTTCGAATATATATATATCCCATAGATAACAATGGATTTATATAGAAAAGTAACATCTTTAATGTGTTTCATGGACTCTAATAACTAAGCCCAGAAGTGTTGTTCTCGATATGTATGTTTAATGAAAGTTATTCATTATTGTTATCTGCTTGTATATTGTTACAAATATCTTCATCTTCTTGGTTTTACTAACGACTTCTCCGTGATTCTTTTTGTTCTCAATATGATGTATAGAAACCATTGTCAAGAAGTCATCATTAATAAGTTGTCTAAAGCATCTATGAGTAAATATGCTTCTTTTTCTGACCATTTCATCTAATAGTCCTCATGCTCAACACAATCGCTAGTAAACATTCAGTTTGTTGATGAATGATCATTTCTTCAATAATTACTCGCATAAGAACAATTGGTTAAATCGCTTTTGGTAAACGATAGTCGCTATACATAAGTAAATAGTGAAACAAAAAAAATATGAGAAATACATAACAGCAATATAAAAAAGGTCAAGATAAGACTAGTGATGCCAACAATGCACAAATTGACTCATCACTTTTATTTGCGAATAGCTGTCGTTTTTTAAATAGAGTCACAATTGTAGCGAGTTTTGGGCTTTATATCACTATAGCTACCATATATAATATAAATCTTTTAATGCATTAAAAAACACATTGAGAAACAAGTAAAAGACATTAAAATCAAAAAAAAGAAACTAAAATTTCAATCTAAATTTTAGAATAAAAGATTATAAGTTTATTGTTAGAAAAAAATCATCCTTCTCAACAAATTATTCGATACTTTCTCAATTTCATTATGTTCAAAGAAAATTTACTTTTCTTTTTGCAGTCATCCAAACATTTGTACAAAAGATAATCATATATTCAAAGAAAAAAATCACCATTTCATTATTATCCACTAAATAATAAAATATTTCCTAACAATTCTAGTTAGGATACATTCTTTCTTCATTGATGTTTATAGTCTTGAAGTCATTGTTATCAAATTGAATGCTTCTAATTTTATACGCTAGCATTCAGTATGAATGACATCAATAGACATTAAACTAAGAATAGAATCATATCGCCTGAATATTATATATAATGAGCAGTTTTAGTCAGGACACAGAGTATAAACTTTTCAAGAATAAAAATAGTTTGTTTTTCATTTTTATTATGAACTCAATTCTTTTCATGGAAAAATATTCTTTGATTCTGAGTATCCGGAATAAACCGAACATTTACAGTAATTAGAGGGTATTATTACACTAGGAAGTTTTTAAAAGTAGAACATCTATTTCTATCAATGAAATGAAGTAATAATATACATCAATGAAAATGTGTATTTGAAAATTAGGCTAGGCATTTATTTCTAACTTCATGTTTGCGTTAAAATCTTACAAAAATACGTAAAAAACTTGCAATATGTTTATTTATTAATCCTTATATCTGATTTTGTTTAAATCTTCAATCTTGTAGTGACATCTGTCTAACAGATGATTCATCTATACTCATTGCTTATAATTGCGATATTGTTGACAATAAACTAATAATTTTTATTCCTTCATCGTATGATGGAGTAAAGGTAATTACGAATGGTTGAATATATTTGTTTTTGTTTTGTTTCGAAGATTATCCACATATATATATATATCAATCAATAGATCTTATTCTGGTTATGATTACTAAGATATGAACCGGACTTCTCATCTTACAATGAATAATCAAGCTGGTAAGGATTTTATAAATTTAATTATAAATAAAAATAATCCCATTGTTTACTAGAATCTCCATCTAATACATCACCTGTGAAAAATACAACATCACCCTCAACATTATCATCTAGCCCGAATCAAAGACATCATCATCATCATAATTATTCACGTTCTCCGAATAGTGTAACCGACTTTCAAAGTAAATTTAAAAAAAAAATCTATTAGTGAAAATGTTCTATTTATATTGTATTATATGTTAACAGTTATAGCTGATCGGGCAAATCGTGATTATCAAAATGGAAATTATGAACGAGCTGAACAATATTGTCTTCAATTATATCAACAAGAACCGGATAATACAAGTTTATTATTATTACTAAGTTCAATTTATTTTCAAATGCGTCGTTATGATCAGTAAATATATTCGATAGTCTATTTTCTTCTATATCATATTTCGTTGTGTTTCCTCATCATAGGTCAATGCAATATAGTCTTTTAGCTACCAAACTTGATCCACATCTAGCCGAAGCTCATTCAAATTTAGCCAATGCATATAAAGAAAAAGGTTTTCTAAGTTTAGCTCTTGATCATTATGTTAAAGCATTACAATTAAAACCAGATTTTATTGATGGATAGTAAGTAGATTATTGAATATGTTTAATAAAAAAAATATATTGTTTTAATTTTTTATCATTTAGTATTAATTATGCAGCTGCTCTTATTGCAAACTCAGATATGGAAGGTGCTGTTAGTGCTTATTTACGAGCATTGCAATATAATCCAGTATGTTTCATTAAATATTTATTTAGTTTAATTTTAACTAATTATTTTCTAGAATTTATATGGTGTTAGAAATGATTTAGGAAATTTATTAAAAGCACTTGGTTATATAGAAGAAGCAAAAGTAAATATTAAAATTTGAAAGAAAAAAAAAACAAACGATCGAAAACTATTCGAATTTTTTTAAAAATTTTAGGAATGTTATTTAAAAGTGATTAAAACTCAACCAACATTTGCTGTCGCATGGAGTAATTTAGGTTGTATATTTAATTGTCAAGGTGAAATTTGGTTAGCTATTCATCATTTTGAAAAGGTTACTTTCAATTGATGTATTATGTATAGTGATTGACGAAAGTTCAGAGCAGCTGTATTTTTTGAGTTTTCTTCTTGATAGCAACAGCTACTAGGAATCTAAAAGAACGTTTCAATAACTAAAGTAATGTTCTATTAGGTTTTAGGGGCCTAAAAAGCTGCTTGAATGATGGTGTTTCGACCATCAAAAATTTTAAAATTACTTTCATGGCATCTATTTGAATTTTTTTGGAAACGATCTTATAAGATAAAACAAATAATTCTGAGCACTGTGACACGTCCTTGATCTTCCCATGACATTTCTTTATCGAATTGTACTCAATTTATGAAAGGCATTCAAGCGTCAAGCATGGTGAAATTAATGAAATTTTTGCATAAAAACAACAGAATAAGCTGTTAGTACAAGTTCTATAGAATTAAAATATGAAAGACAATGTTATTTCTATTTCTAACCACAGAATATTGCTTTATTCTATCTATTTTGGAACTAGACATGACCCAAACCCAAACTGTTTGGGTTTGGTGAGTTTGGATTTGGGTTTGGTACTCAAACTCATCAAACAGTTTGGGTTTGGGCTTTTCCCAATTGCCATCTATATATGCAAATAATTTTTCTATATATGAAAACAAGAAGAAAAAGACTTGTATATTTCATATACGTATGTAACCAACATGAATTGTTAATCGAGCTTGGGTCTCTAACCCAAACCCAAACTCGTTGGACCAAACCCAAACCCAAACTCAATACACAAACCCAAACTCAAACTCAATACCCAAAGCCAAACCCAAACTCAATACCCAAACTCAAACTCCCAAACAGTTTGGGTTTGGGTCATGCCTATTTGGAACATAATTCTTCACTATATTTTTATTTAATCCTCTAATTATGCAATAAAGAAGTAGATCAAATATTAGAACAAGACATTATTAATATACGGTCTGTGAGTGGAAGGGAAGTGAAGTCCAAATTTCTACCCTATATATTTCAACACTCGTTTTAGATCGTGCTTAGAATTCTTTGCTCTATCTAATAAGACCATTGTCAAAAAAAATTCAAATAGATGTAAAAAAAAAATTGGTTTTGAGAATCTTGATTTTCTAGGCGCCTTATTCCAAGTAGTTTTATTGGAGGTTTTTAGGCCCAAAATTCTGATATAGAAACTTTTTTGCTATTATTATTGAGAATATAATTCAAAAATACAACTGCTCTAAACTTTTCTGCGTCACCATATATATTAATTATCTTTCCTTTATTTTTCAAAATAGGCAGTTGCTCTAGATCCGAATTTCCTTGATGGATATATTAATTTGGGCAATGTATTAAAAGAAGCACGAATATTTGATCGGTAGATTATACTGTTGTTGAAAAAAAAAAACAAATTTTTTAAAATTTTTTCTTCTAGTGCTATTACAGCTTATTTACGTGCTTTACATCTTTCACCAAATCATCCAATTGTTCATGGTAATCTTGCTTGTGCTTATTATGAACAAGGGTAATTAATAACAACAATGTCGATTGAATATAATTCTTATATTTTAATTTTTTGTTTAGTCTAATCGATTTAGCCATTGAAACTTACCGTCGTGCTATTCAATTACAACCGAATTTTCCGGATGCTTATTGTAATTTAGCAAATGCATTGAAAGTACAAGGCAAAGT